GACCTCGACCTCCCGCACAACAGTCCAGCGCTCTAACCAATTGAGCTAACTGGGTGGCGCTTAACAGGAAATCTCCACAACGAATTATACATAAAAGAAATATTACTGGAAACCAAGGGTTCTTGACAAAACGCTTAATGGCAGCTGTTGCCCAGATACTGTAAAGTCTGTATTGGTTTCTTTCCTAGTTTGATGAGTAGTGCTTCACAGATTTTATTTTCCAAAATACCTTTTGCCTTGGATTTTGACATCAGAAAAATTAATATCCATACTCTGTCCATGGAAGGGAGTGCAATGTCACCCACACCCTTCTGGAATTTCCAAATGCAAACAGTGATTTGTATAGAAAACAAGTTCTTTCTGCCCCACCCTCTATGGATATTTTCTGAATTCACACAATATTGGGCTATATGGTAAAACTTAAGAATTAACCCATGAAAATGAGGTAATATTCATTTACTCGGCTCCAAGATGGAAAAGTATTTAATATGCTATGCTTTTGTTTTTGTTAGAACAGGTGTAACACTTTTTCCAAAATGCTCTCAAGTATAGCAATTCTAAATGCTCTTTTTGAAATACAATGTTTGAGAAAATGGTTGACACTCAATACATTTAAAATACACTGTAGTTATCAGTAGAACAACAAGAAGGCAAGATTCAATATCATCATATAATTGCACTCTCGTATGAAATCTGCTCAAGCAGTACTTGTTCAGTTCTTCTCCAAAAATTTAGAAAACATGGTTATCATCATGGTCTGGAACCCGTCCATTTGCTTCTGTTGCTGTATCAGTTGCTGACCCATCAACTTCGTCATAGCTTCATTCTTCTCAGCTTCATTCTTCTCAGCTTCATTCTTCTCAGCTTCTTGCTGCAACTCTTGCTTTTTCAGCTCCAGCTCCTCCTCCTCTTCTTTAAATTCATCCAACCTTTCATTCCTCTGCTTTAGATACTCCAGGGTGTTGTTTCCACTCGATCCTCTTCTGTTCCCCTTTCCTTCAATCTTACTTCTTTTCATTCTGTCTCTCAGGCTCTCCATTACCCTATTTCTCACTTCCTCAGCATCTTTCTTATCTTCCTTTACCTTACTCTTTTTTTCCTGCTGTCCCCATTTGGTCTCGATCAACCTCATCTTCTCTCACAATGAGGTCTTCCTGGGCTTGCTCTACTTCAGTCAATTCTGGGGTGCTAATCCCACTTGCTCTTTTCTCCTCTCTAGTTTTCCTCCTGTATGCTTTGGCAAACAGACCATACCTTTCTCTAACACCTCTCTGGTCAACCTTAAATTTGGGGGCTTCTACTTGCAAAAGGCGCACAGAGATTTCATTCCACTTCCGACCTGTTTGTTCTGTCCCATGCTTTGTGCCAGCAAAGGGGCTATTTCCTAGCATTTCTCTGACTAAAACGACATCATGTTCCTCTGTCCAGAACATCCTGTCATACGAAATGTGGCATAATAAATAAACTATCAATGAGAGTAATCATGAAAGAAACAAGACACAATCTACAAAAACTCTACCACAGTAATAGAGGAAAACAAAGAAACGCCTAACAATGAAAGGTAAACCCCTCTGGTGGTAAGAAACAAATATAATGCTGGGTGAACTGTGTATGAAGCTAAAAAATACATTAATTATGAGTAATTATAGTATACTCAAGTGTGGGGAATAGTGAGGCCTAAAATTTGGTGTGAAAAGGGAAGAGACAAAGAGCTATCGAGCCGTGAAAAAATGTCAAAGAGGTTGGTTGTATTCAAGAAAATATGTAGTATAAAAATATTGGCACAAGTAAGTGCAGTTGTTCAATAGAACCGACAAGAAAATTTTCGTTCTCGAAATGTTTTCCTAAATTTTGATAAATGCACACCACTGGAGTGGAAAACGAAAGGTTTAACAAATGCTAGGTTGAGACAGCAATTCAGTAATTCAAGTCAACACTCCACAAAAGCACAACAGAAATGGTCCTATCAAAACACTCTTAGGAGCTTTGTTGCTTGGGTTGTTTTTCTCTTTCACGCAGACTACACAAGAAATATAAACTCCATAGGACAGTTGCAAGTAGAAACTCGAGAAAATGACTGTGCTAGTAGTATTTATATAACCATTAAACAATGACTGAAAGCAGAAAAACAACAGGAAAAGAAAAACAACAGG